TTATAACAAACGGGCACCAAATGACTAGGGAACCGCTCCTGGTGTATTCTCAGTAGATCTTTTTGTATGCGCGACTGTGCTGCGCGTTTACTGCTTAACACCAAATCCTCAGGATGCCAAGAATACAAGAAGTCTTCGTAAGACTTTGCTCGTACCCTCTTACGTAACACCTTAGATTGTTCGGCGTCGCTAAGGCCCCTTAATTCTGCCTTTAATTTCCTCACTTGATCCTTGCTACGGTAGTCTGCGTTAATTTCTTCATGATAGTCTACCATTTCTTTTAACCATTCATGGGGCATTTCTCCGGCTATAGGAGGTGGCTGGCATGGATCCCCGGCAAATATTACTTGACATTTTCCACGGAGAAAGTCTACGAACTCCTGCAGGATTTCTAAGGGCACGGTACAGATTTCATCCCAAAGTATCACGGGAGGTATGTCGCGTATCGCTTCCGGCACCCACTTTTGGCCATTCCAACGAAAGAAGCTGTGGTAGGTTTGTGCGTCGTGGCCCATTTCGCGGAGTTCCCTTTCCAAGCGGTGCGTTGGCGTTAGCACCTTTATCTTAGGAAAGAGTTCTAACACACGCGTCGTCTTACCGCTGCCTCCCGTACCGTAAAGGTAAGAGAAGCGTTGGTAAGAGATTGGGTCCGCAACTGAGGGCAGTGGCTCTTCCGTCGGCGTAATGGAACCGCGGGTGTGTTCACCGTGATATTCCACGCGTGCCCTCCAAGACCTTATCTCCTCATCTTTGACGCGCCACTGGCCACTTTCTGCGAGTTCATCGGCAGTGTAGAATTCCTTCATCTTTTCCAACACACCGGGCTTCACGTATAGGGAATCCGTGGCTACGCGGGGGATGTCTTCTTTATCAAACCGCAGGAGCATTGCGAGGAGGTTGATATGCGCATAGGCAAGCATACTGGCACGCAGATGGTAATATTGCGGTCGATGGTCCTGGTAGTAACACAAAGCACTCCATTTATGCAGCTCATCATCTACGAGGTAATCCCATTTCTCTACAGACACCATCGTTCCTTGATCGTGGGCTCTTTTAATGAGGAAGCTTAACTCTCCTTCGTCTGTTATTAAACGCCGTTGCATGTGCTTCTCTCCTTCTTTAGCGCCCTGTGTAAACTTTCCTATGACTATTCTTGCAGTTGGATTGTGTTCCGGTAACCATTTAGTAAAGGCGCTATGGCAAAGTATGGCTTCATGCGCTGTGTATCTTAGGAGTTCGCGCTCTTCTAAGAACTTTAACAATGGCACTGGTATCCATTCTTTCTCTTGTAGATGCTTCCCGTACCAAGCGTAAATTATAGGATGTAAGCCCTTTGCTAACTTCCAGGTAGTCAGCCTAACAAACCCCGTAGCTGGCGCGTCGTATTTACCATCCAAAGCTACGCGGAAGAACTGCGAGTCTGGGTGTCCGTAGCGGTCGTAATATTCCTTACAATCTCCCAGGCCTTTGAATGACGCAGGGTAACAATGTTTCATGTCCAAGGATACGTATTCATCCTCGTCGTACTCCATGTTCCATAAACCACCGTGACCGTGTTCTACACAGGCTTTGGCTACGTCTTTGAACTCTTTAGGGGTCGGTTTCCATCCATTTCTTTTTTTCGCAGCTAAGAAGTCCAAGCTGCGGGAGCTAAGGACCTCGTCTGAGAAGTCTTCCCCAAGCGTTTCACAGGCGCTCTGGATGGGCAGATGTTCGATTTCGGGGCGGTAAAGAGTACCATCTTGAGTCATAAACTGACTTCCTTCCGAATCCATTAACCAAATGGAGTTCTCGTGAACCAAGTCTGCGAGTGGCGAGGCTTCATAGATCTTTGTTTCTTTCTTTCGTGGGAACCTTAGCTCTCTCCAAGCGTGTCCGTTATGTTGATAAATGACTATAGGAGCACCTCTACCACCGTACTTATGCGTCCCCGGATAGATGAACCCGTCCGTGATGTCCTTTACGTGTATGCGCCTCTCCAGAAGGACTTCTAATTTCTTGACGTTCTATCGTGGCTCCGGCTCTACGGGTAACATCTTCCCATTTCCTAATAGCTTCTCTTCTTTTCGGAGTCAATTTACCTCCGCGGGCGGAATCTTCAAAGAATTCCCTTACCAACTTCCCAACACAGTTGCCGGGATGTCGCATTGGTCTTAACCTCCTAACGTCTGGTTCTTTGATCTCGTAGGCACCGTAAATGACTACGGTAACAGGGTAAGCAACCTCGTAGAACAACATGTCTATTCCCGCCAGCGCTCCTGGTCGCGTTTGCTTATTTAAGACAAACAGGTTTTGCTTACCAGACGCTCGGATAGGATTTCGGCCTCTTTCTATTACCCAGTCACCGTCTAGGTACTTTATGAACGTTAATTCCAAACGGTAGTTACCTTCGGGCATTAAGTCGATTATCTTTTCAGCCCTCGCGTCATCCATAGTTTCGTCCGTATTTCCCTCCATAAACGTCGTGAAGGCGAAGTCGGCATCCAAACGATTTAACGCCTGAGTTCGCAGCTTACGCACAGTTTTGTTTTGAATGCGTTGAACGTCGTCCATCTATATCTAAGAAATATTTTAACCTTCGTTTGCGACCCTACAAGATATTTGATGGGATTTTAAATGCTGTTCCCTCTTAAATTCCCTCCCGCAGGAGCAACTTAAAACGAATTTAGGAACTATTCCATCGAGCTTCCCTTGCAGTTTCCTTATATATTCCTCGTTGTCATTAGAAAACTCATGCGTCATCATACACGTTACTTTCATATCACATGGGACTTTCCTACGCAAATGGGAAATTAAGCCACCTTTTGTGTAACCTTTATTACATTTTGGACAAACAAACTTACCACTCATTATATATTTAAGGGCATTTTATGCTCAATTAAAGGTACATTTTAACAGACACATAGATCTCGCAAACACAGCAGCAGTAAGGGAATTATCGCGCAACGTGGGTATTTCCCGATGCGGACAGATACATTTAGAGGGGCCTGAAACGCAGGTAATACCCGTGAAATTCAATGCTTAGTGACTCGGATTTCGCGAGTCCCCCTTACTGCTGCTGAAAGGCACGTTTCTTGTCAAACTATAAATTCTTCTTGGTTAGGTTTTAATGAACGTCAATTAAAAGCGTTTCCATGATATTCCATAGGCGCTGGAAACCTTGAATTTTATTTGTGTGGTTTTTGTTTTTGTTTTGTTGTTGTTGTTGTTGGTGGTGGTGGTGTTTTTTTTGTTTTTGTTTTTGTTTTTTTTGTTTTGTTTTTCGACAATGTCATGGAAACCCTTTGATTGACGTCCATAAAACCCTGTCTTGTCGTAGCGAAAGAACGTGCGGTGTTGAAAATGGCTGTAAGTTTTGCTTGCCATGGATATTTCTTACTAGCTACTTGTAATCATTTTTTGTGGGAGTTCCAAAGTATAGGTGTGTGAGGAGTAGAGAAAATGGTTGACATAGTTTTCTATTGTGTTTGTTTGGTTAGAAAATATACATGACTCGGGTTTGTCCTCAGTGCAGTGTCTATCGTAAGAGTTTGACCATAGTTGACATGATAATTGATCATCGGTTTTTGAATATTTTATTTTCCCATCGAGCCACAGAAATGATATCAATCGTATGAAAAAACGGGCGAAAATTGTAGTATCCCTTTATTCTCCCAACTTGGGCTCATTTCGGTGCGTCTGTACAAATGGAATACTTTTGATCAGCATTTATTGAGTACTACGAAGTACATTTGGCTAAGTTCGGCAAGTCTTGCGGCGACTCATAGGGCGCCACTCGCTGTTACTTAATCTTGTACACAATTTTTTAAAATTTGTTTTAGTCAATAGAGGTTTTGCACTATCACGTGCCGGGGCCCATAATACAGCTTGGACTGCCCATGGTTAGATGTCAGAACAATAAAATACCTTTCCTCTCGGGAGTTTTATGCTTTCTCGTTAAAATGATTGTATTGTATCTGCCATCCAACATGGCTGCCGTCACGTGATGGTGCAAAAACCTCTATAATTGTTGTTTTGTTATAATAGTAAACACTGATCGATTGATTATGTTCATACAGTTAATCTGCTGCTCATGGCTGACGTAAAGTACGCGAGGTTACTAGAACCCAACAAAGTGTACGTCAACCCAAAGGCCAAAGCTGGCTTTCTTTCCCGCCTCACCTTCTGGTGGATGAACGGTTTGTTTATCACTGGAAGCGAACGCCCTCTTGAAAACCATGACCTCTATCCATTGTTAGACGCAGACAGGACTGAAAAACTCACTGAAAAACTACAGCAAGAATTCAACAAACTCAAAGATTTACCAGGGAACAAGAGGACTCGTTTACTTAAGGCCCTTATCTATATGTTCCCAGGATACTTATACATGTTCACGATATGCGCCGGCCTGACTGGTGCCCTGTGTAATGTTCTACAGCCTGTTTTCCTAAGTCTCTTGTTGTCTCAGCTTGTACAGACTTCACCGTTAGTCAGCTATAAGTGGTGTTATATCTATGCCATAGGGATATGTATTTGTTCTTTGATAAGGTGTTTAGTGTTGCAGCAGTTTGCTGAACAGAACCTACTGACAGCAATGAGATGGCGAGTAGCAACCATTGGCATGATCTTCAAAAAGGTATGTCAAACACTAGCGTAGGGAAGGGGCACGGGGGAGAGGGGGAGTACGCACCCCCAAAACGTTTGCTTTCGGCACCAAAATTTAATTAATTCATGCGGGATTCCTGTAGATTAATCAAGATCTCGCTACGCCCCTGATGTCAAATGTGACCCGTACTTACGTATAACCCTCGGGAAATAGAGGTATGGGAGTGGTTAAAACATACTCTGTAGTGTATTCATTTTGGTATATGCATTCAGTATAGCCATCTTATTAATAATTCTTTGTTACCCTTATTACGTTTACCTACACTAACTATTACAATGATTTTTTTAATTTTGTCAATCAAGTGATTAACCCTACTGACTATCTTGGAACATGAAGAGAATTAAAACATTTGAATTTGAAAAACTATTCAAAGGGGATTCTGGCAGAAGTGGTGTTAAGGCGAATAAGGGAAACAGAGAATGTGTCTGGAATGTTGGGAATTTTGAAAAACAAAGTTTTAACCTGTAGAGTTTAGGTGTCAGGCATTTTGAATAGCAGAAGCAATTATTATGCAATTATGAACTTATGCTATTATTCTCCGTTGATTGCACCTACTTTCAATTAGAAAAGTGATTCTCCCTTGAGGTTCAAAGAAGATTTCTCATTAGTATCCATTGTTAATTTAAGCGTACCAAGATGGCCGCCACGTTATTGTCTTTTGACTCTCTTGGTAATGTTTGCAATCCATCAAGAGCAAAACAAAGACAAACTCCTTATCAGAATATGATTTGTTTTCAGGTTCTCCTCCTCAGTGAAACAACCATAACCAACGTTTCCTCTGGGTTAGTCCTCGATCTTGTCTCAGGCGACGTTCAACGCTTCGATAAAGTCTGCTTCCTAGTTGGCTTCCTTGCTCTCAGTGTACCGGAAGTCGCAGCGGTGATATGCTTCATGTGGTATCTGATTGGCTGGAAGTCCTTATCTGGCGCGCTCTTCATGTTGTTACTAGTTTGTTATTATTCTGTTATGGGAGGAGTGTGTGCTGCTCTCAGGCTCAAGATGGCCAAAATCACAGACCGTAGGCTTGGTATCATGGGGTCCGTGGTGTGTGGTATCAAGGCTATTAAGATGTACGCTTGGGAGTGGCCCTTCAGAGACATGGTGCAGGAGGTTAGAAGGTATGCTGTGTAAATAGGACATGCCTCTTACGTCATCGCCGCTATGTTGGTTGTCAGGTAATAGAAGATTTCTTCAATAATACCACCAACATGGCCGCTGTGACTTTGTCTTTTCATTTTGACACTCCGGCTTTTATTGTGTACCATATTTTAACAGCCCCCACTACTGAGTCGAGCATCTTTAATTCCATCTGTGCTGCATCACGCACGGTCCTTAATATAAAGAGAAAGCCATGTTGTGGAGAAGGGAAAATGCATCTTTTTTGACTTCCTAAAGAAGACGTTTTCTATTGTTCGGCGCCACAATATCCTGGTTCTCATGAAATTAATCCTTCTTCAGTCTCTATAAACCTCTTAACCTTGGTCGCAATGCTTTCCCATTTCAGACCACGTTATTCTCTTGAGAGTAAGATTCTTTGTTTGAGTGGTATGCATATTCAAATACACAACCGTTAAACAAAGATATGATATATTAATATCCAAGGGAATGATCAGTAGCGTGAATTAATGCCAATATTATGCCCAATCTGCAGAGGTCTATTTTTAGTAGCAGAATGCACAGCGAAACATGTTTGGACAAATTAACTAATTTTTATCTTTTATCTGTTATCTTTAGACAGGAGATCAACGTACTACGCAAGCGCAGTGCTATCCTCGCTACATTCCCTAGTCTACAGTTCTCTTCAACAGCCATCGCTAGTCTTATCTCTCTTGTTACTCTCGCTTCAACTGGAACAGAGCTGACGACGTACAATGTCTTCGTGGTAGTGGCACTTCTCAGTACGATACGAGTGACGGTGTGTGAAAATATCGCCAAGGGTGCGTTTAGTATTGGCGAGTTTGTCTCCTCTATCGAGAGAATTCAAGCTTTCTTAGAACTGGAGGAGTTACCCAATCTGCACGATAAACATGAAGTGGAAAACCGGATGAAGACAAGCAAGGAGTTTTTATCTGTTGTTAAAGAGAGTACTGAATCGACAGGTACGGATAATGAGGAAGGTTCCTTATTAACAGACTCAGGGCTCGAGAAGGCTAAGAAAAAAGACTCTGTTGTTAAGGAGGGTACTGAAATATCTAATGGTACAGAGATTGAGGAAGGGTCCTCATTAACAGACTCAGAGCTCGAGAAGGCTAAGAAAGAAGACTCTGTTGTTAAGGAGGGTATTGAAATATCTAATGGTACGGAGATTGAGGAAGGGTCATCATCTTCGTCTGAGAAATCCCTACTAACAGACTCAGAGCTCGAGAAGGCTAAGAAAGAAGACTCCAAAGAGCCCAAACAAAGACGTCAACGAAGATTACGTAAAAGCAAAGGCAGCGTAGATCACTCACTCAGACAAGTAAAACTATCTCTTCTCAACGTAACATGCCATTGGATAAAAGGCAGTGAAAAACCAAACCTCAATAATGTATCCTGTGAAGCTTTTGATAGAGAACTGGTCCTTGTAACTGGGCCAGTAGGATGCGGCAAGTCTACCCTGCTATCAACAATACTAGGCGAACTCCCCACCACTTCCGGGAAAATTACATGCAACGGAAAAATAGCTCACGTCTCTCAGAGCCCATGGGTGTTCTCAGGGACGATTAGGAGTAATATTCTATTTGGTAAGAGATATGATCCCCGCCAGTATGAAGCCGTCTTACAAGCATGTGATCTAGAGAGAGATATTAATAGTCTTCCCGACCGAGATGCAACGCGCATCGGAGAGAGAGGTACTACACTGAGTGGTGGTCAGCGTACTCGTATAGCATTGGCACGCGCTGTTTATAGTGATGCAGATATTTATTTGCTGGACGATCCACTTGGTGCTGTCGATAGCAAGGTCGGGAGGAATTTGTTTGAACGCTGTATTCAAGGCATTCTTGGAAAAAAGATACGAATACTAGTGACGCATCAACTTCAGGTTAGTCGGCAGCACCATCATCATGATGATCACCATCATGATTATCATCATCATCTACATACCACTGATCTCTGATTGAGAGAATCATAGTTGCTTAAAAGTCATTTAAACGTGTTTTACTTTGGATTGCACTTAATCTGATTCAATTGGTTTATAGACCCCTTACAGTCTTTCGGAATGTAGCTCAATTTGGTGGACAATAGGTTTCTTATTCTATGAGATTAAAAAATATATTTTGTTTTGTCCTCCAAATTGAGCTGCTTTGGCGTCACACGCAAGGGGTCTATTGGCGAAACAGACAAGAGGCATCACTTGGTGGGCGTTAAAGTCTTACTGAATGCAAACTAAATGTAATGCATGGCCTGAACGAAATCTCACTTCTCTCCCCCTTTCCGTGCCTTGAACCACGTTGACTTCTTTGCCCGTCCATTCCCTTTTGAGAAATAACTATTCTTCGTTTCAGTATCTTCAAAACGCTGACCACATTATCCTTATGAATGACGGAGAAATCACGAGCGAAGGGAGCTACGCTGACATATGCAAAACTGGAGAAGAAATAGCTTTCTTACAGAAAGAAGAAAAAACGTCCGTTACTCCAAGACCTCTTTATAAAGATATCTCGCTGGAGGTAGAGAACTGGAAGGAAAGCCATTTCAGTAGCCTTCAGCCTGCAGAAGAGGACCGTCAGACAGGCGCCATCTCTTGGTATCTTTACTGGAGGTACCTGACTGCTGGGGTGAAGCCATTATTTCTCATCTTACTTGCTATGATTTTTATATTCGTGCAAGGTAAGGTCTGTAATCAACGGGTTGGAAATTAGGAAATGCGTCCCCTTTCTTTCACGAGGCTAACATTTTAAGCTATCTTTTCGTTTGTACGTTAAACCTCATCGCCGAAATGTATTTAACTATAGATTTCTCATTAGCATGACTTCGTTTATACCACAAATATGGCTGCCTTGTCCTTCAGTTGTCTTCTGATTCTAGTGCGAATTGCTGTAAATCATCAGTCACACACGTTTGTGGCTAACGAGCCTGTGGCTCTCATTTTGTCGACGAATGGGCCTTTAACACGCAGACGGTAGCTAATAGTCCCTTTTTCCCATTTTGAACTACAGGCTTAGGCTCGCTTCAGAACAAATCATTTGCAAGAATCAACACTAATGTAAAGAATGTGCAGCTCGAATAATACCAATGTTTTGAAATCCCATGGACCTTCAATTCGTGAAGGGCTGACTTATAAACGAAGCTAAATTAGCCTGTGCAAATGAGTCTGTGGTTTTCAAAAACCCGGCCCGTGGTATGCATTGAATGCGAAACTGGTGTATTGAAACTTCTGTTTAGCCCAGAAATAATAATCACTTGAACGCAAAACCATCCAAATAATATCTTGTTTCAGTCTACATAGCTGCTGTGTTAGAAAGGTCCATTGGAAAGATGCAGGTTAATACCCCCTCCTATAAGGTTTTATATATTTTCTATATTTTCCAAACCAGCTTTCCTGATTCTTCCTGACGTGTGGCTTCTTCACCTAACCAACATGCCTCGCGAAGAGAGAAAGAAACTAACACATTTCTACACGTATGGTGGTCTTGTGGCCGTGGCTCTCCTTCTGTCAGTCCTTCGTGCGTCCTTGTTTTTCTCGACGGTGCTCAACTCATCGCAAATGCTACACGATGAGATGGTACAAACTGTGCTTAAGGCACCGGTCTTGTTCTTTGATACCAATCCTGTTGGTCGCATCATGAACAGGTTCTCTAAGGATATAGGTTAGTAAGCTTTTTTATACATGGATGTCGTTGGATATAGGTATTTCTAGTCCTAAATTGACAGACGGTTYGTCTTTTAGGAAGCATGGACGAACTTCTTCCCGATGTCCTACTTGACGCTCTTCAGCTAATTCTATTCTCCCTCGGTGCTATAATCCTACCATCGGTAATCAATCCTTGGCTTATCTTCGCTGTCATTCCTCTCGTTACGCTTTTTATCATCATTGGCAAGTATTACCTTAAAACCTCTAGGGAGATCAAAAGACTGGAGGCCATCAATCGAAGCCCAGTCTTCGCTCACTTCGCGGATACTCTAGAAGGCGTGGTTACTATGAGGTGTCACCATATGCAACATGCTTTTGTGAAGAGACTTTACAAGTAAGTTTAAGGTGGGAAGAGGGTGAGCTTGGCGCAAAACTATCACACTAGCTACTACTCGCCCGCATAAGCAAACACCACCGGTAACCAAGTGAAATACAGGGCTCTCTCGCTGACTAATACCAAATGATTTGAGCTTCCAAATCGTGGAAATTAATTTTCCTGAGGTCATATGAACTTTATGAATGATATGAATTTCTATCTCGTCCTGTTTCAGGTACCAAGATGTGCACAATCAATCGTGGTTTGTTGTCATAGAAACGGTTCGCTGGTTGGCCATCAGACTTGACATATTGTGTGTTATTTTTGAAACGGTAGTCGTTTTGGGCGCTTTGTTTGCTCATTCAGGACCAGGTAACTAGATGATAGATAGACGACTTTATTTACAGCAGAGGGTTGCACTAAATGGCTACAAAGCTAATAAACTTGTGGCCCTTAGTATAACAGTATACTGAACTGCATTAACTCTTATGAGAGGACAAGGCGATTGAATTTTATTTGCATTGGACATAAGGATTATTCTCATAATTTTTAAGTGTACCGTCAAATATGTTACAAAACGAAACACTTCCGGGTCCAAAATAATCATATTTTTCGACAATGTCGTAACTTCATCAGATTCTGGTACATATGCTTTATCGATTGAATTTCTTTGGTTAGAATTCCCTTTAGAATCTTATATGGCATAGTAAAGTGACCTGCGTCATCTTTTTGCATACTATTCAAAAACGATTAAAATGCATATCACCCTTCTGACAATATTCTCAGTATTGATTCTACATGGGGTGATATGTTAGGGATCAATGATGCCCCAATTCCTAGATCCCCCACTGGATTAAGTAAACTATACTGAAGTAGATGCACCTAACGCTGATTTTCTTGATTTAAAGGAATGACTGCCCTTTCGCTTATTTATGCTGCACAGCTAGCATTCGACACATCTCAAGTCAGTGTACGTCAGTGTTCAGAGGTTGAGAACTACATGACATCCGTAGAGAGAGTAGTGTCGTACACAGACCTTGAGCCAGAACCTGGCTACGACATACAGAATCAACCCCCTGACAGATGGCCAGCGACGGGGGACATATCTCTAGAGAATGTTTCTTTGAACTATTACGATGGAGGGCCTCAGGTTCTTAAGGATATCAATGTGAAAATACCCAATGGACAGAAAGTGGGTGTGGTAGGGCGTACTGGAGCAGGGAAGTCCTCTTTGGTTCGTGCTATATACCAGATGCCCAAGCCCGATGGTAAGTCTGAAGGGGTCCTAGGATTTCTGCAACACCCTTTCCTGGTCGTTTTCTTGTGATTTGAGGGGAATAGAGGGAGGCGGAGGAAAGTCGCAGGGGAGAGAGGCAGGGGAGAGAGGCAGGGGAGAGAGGCAGGGGAGAGAGGCCGGTATTTTTTTAAAGAGATTAAACATATAACTTATATTTTACCACTCCCACAAGGGGCTCTCCCCTTGTATTCACTCCCCACCCTCCCCCTATATTCACTATTTACAACACACGGCACTCAACTTTATTCTTGATTTTGGCATCAGCTAGGTTGATTAGTGAAGAAATCAATTAATAGAACCCCCTTATCAGTTTCTACTCCATGCTGTATGCATATGTTTATGTGACTTTTTTAACTTAAGTTCTCTGTCTTTTCATGTTTTACAATTAGACTATTCGATTCCTGATCACGGATGTTTCTTCAGTACAGATTAACTTTATTTTTTAACTAATTTGCAGGTCAGATACTGGTGGATGGAGTTGACATCGGTACAATCAACATCCAGCGAGCTCGCTCTTCCATTTCTGTCATTTCCCAACACCCAATCATTTTCAGTGGTTCGCTTCGGATGAATTTGGATCCATTTAACAGGTTTACTGATGCTGATTTGTGGCATGCTTTAGAACAAGCCAGCCTTAAAACCCTAGTCAGTAGTTTACCACAGCAGCTCTACTACGAGTTCGTAGAAAGCGGATTCAACTTAAGCGCAGGGGAGCGTCAGCTGTTTTGCTTGGCTCGTGCGCTGCTGCAACGAAGCAAGATAATCATCATGGATGAAGCGACAGCTAATGTGGACTACCACAACGAGAGGATTATCCAAGGGAAGGTAAAGGATAATTTTGCTGCTTGTACTGTCCTCATCATTGCACATCGCCTTGGGACCATAATGCACTGCGATGAAATAATGGTGATTGACGGAGGGAGACTGGCGGAGACTGGCCAGCCAAATGTCTTGTCTGAAAAGAGAAATAGTTTGTTTGCACGAATGTATCGATCTTATCAAGAAAGTGGATACTTTCACGGACAAAAACGTTGACAATCATCACATATCTATGTATTTCTTTAAAAAGCAGTGACTATTAGAGGAGATCGGCAAACGAAGAAAGGTTTTTGGTTTGTGTCGGATAGACTTTTTTGTTGCACATTCTTGACCTATAAACACAAATGATTCTGGATAATTTATCTTGGTTTGCAAGAGGGAAGAGGGGTAACACATGCGCGCTGTTTTAAAAGTACTTGCCTGCCTAGCCATGTTGTGTGGTTTTGGCAAGAATTGGGGTAGAAGAAGAAGAAAATAAAAATAGGTCAGTGGTGGATCCAGTATTTTTCAAAGGGGGGTTCCGTTATAATTCTCTTTTGTTTAGTCGATGTCTGACAAAAAAATTGGCTCTAATCACCTAATTTACTATCTAGTAACGGAACTTAAAGGTAAATTAAACATTATAACAGCAAATATCTATCATTTCGTGTTTAACATTATCTTTTTGGATACTTTTAAGCAAAATGTATATAAGACATATTTCTATTACCTAAAAGATCAAACCTTCAAGGGGGGTTCCGTGGACCCCTTCGATTCCCCCTGGATCCGCCACTCTAGGTTGTTTCCGGGGTTTATTTAGAAACAATTAACTTAACAATTGTAAATGAAAATGTCACGCAATGCAGAAGACTTTTCAAAACGGGACCAGCAAAAAAACCTACTAATATATGTTATTACAGCTAATTCTAAGCCAGTCCAAGTATATTTTCTTTTATTTTAATCCAGTATTTTGATTTATTTGTGTGTGTTAAGACAAACCATGCGATGCGATATTGACACAAATCTCGTGACTTCCTGCATAACTTGTACGTCATTGTACTGCAAGGGAGGGGTGTCCTGGTAATCTCATCATTTTCACTCTAAAAATACTGTTCAACTGTAATGAAACATTTTCACTAAACATTTTGAAAACCATGACACRATCTTATTTCTATATCAGGGAAGTGAGATTAATAAAGTCTGGAAGCTGACATTTTGAGCAATTGATGTAAACTCCTATCTCCCTACTGTCGGAACAATTTTAGGGGTCATGAATATTGCCAAAAATCCAAAGAAATCAGTCACCCTTGCTACATACGTCGAATAATTAGATTTGTTTTGCATTATTTTTCTTTCCTGTGATCCTCTTTTGATTTACTTGAGGCACAACGATGGCCTCCAGTGGAGTACTCGACGTCTCTCCTCAGATTCTTGATGAATTAAGTTGCTGTGTCTGTCGGGAGCTTTTGAGAGAACCAAAAATCCTCGGTTGTGGGCATACAGCATGTATTGATTGTCTTGCTAATATGGTGGAATTGGAATTGATAAACACAGGCGATGTATTCGCTCTGCATCAACCAAGACTTAGAGAGGTGATTCGTTGTCCTATTTGTCGTAATTGTACAAATATCCCAGTCAATGGAATCGACGAATTTCCCACCAACTACCTTGTAAAGAGCATGGTAGAGCTAAATTTGGGACTAGGAGACGTTCGCGAGATAAAAACCAAGATTTCAGAAAGTAAAAACGTACTTGGAGAAGTCCAAATTGCTAGTACGACTATCGATGAAATCATGAAAATGGTCGAGGATAAAAAACAGACGGTTATCTCGGATATTAACCAAGTCTTTGACTCATTAGTCGAAAGACTGCGAGACAGACAAGAACAGCTTACAGAGCGTTGCTGTAGCAAAGCAGCTGTAAGGCTTCGGGATCTCAGGCATCAGAAACAATGTACAAAAGCAGTGGAACGCATCATGAAAGAAACTATTGAACGGGTCGAGTTATCGATGGCCTGTTCAGTAGCCGATGTACTACAGCGTAAAGAAGCTGTTCTAGAAGAGCTGAGTCAACTAGATATGTTTTTAGTCTTTAACGAGCCGAGGGAGGTCTCTGAGTTTAAGTTTGTAGTTGAGGGTGAACAAGAGATAATGAATCGTATATCTGAATTTGGAGATATCCACTGTTCATTTGACGGGTCTGATCATATTGTACCTGTTGCTGTGCCCAGCCACATAATGGGTGTTGACGTTCTCAAAGTGATTGACAGCTTCAATAATGACGGCGAGAATGATGAACAAAGTACACTGACCCTCCCCTGGGGTGTCACCACTACAAACACTGACATCATTATTGTAACAGATCATCATCAAAATCGTGTGCTTCAGTTTGATGTTGAAGGGAACTTCTTAAAGTATTACGCCGAAGAACACGATATACATTTACCAACGGGAGTGGCAGTCAGCGACGAAGGTAACTTCATGGTCCTTGACAGTGGAAACCATTGCATCAAAGAACTCAATTCATCAGGGGATCTGGTCAGAAGTATTGGAAAGATGGGATCAGGATCAGGGGAAATCGGGGAACGCGCGGAAGGCATTACAGTTGATCACGAAGGCCGTTTGATTGTAGCTGACACTGCAAATAACCGTGTCCAGGTTTTCCACAGAAACGGACGAATGGCGTTGAAATTCGGGGACACCGGAAATGAGTGCTTAAGCCGTCCGTCTTGTGCGGTCTACCATAAAGGGAAGTTCATTGTCTCTGACACACACAACCACTGCCTGAAGTTTTATAATCGCAACGGTCTCTTGATACGCCAAGTTGGAATACCAGGAAAAGAAAGTGGTCAGTTCAGTCACCCAAGAGGATTGACAGTTGATGGAAATGACAATATTTTAGTTTGTGACAGTGGGAACTGCAGGATACAGGTGTTAGACTTCAATGGAAACTTTATCACGAGTTTTGGCACCATGGGGGGTGAAGATGGTCAGTTTTGTTTTCCTTACGCCATCGCGATCAACAGTCAAGGTTCCATGGTAGTGACTGACTGTAATAATAACAGAATCCAGATCCTACGCTTCAAGATACCGCCAAATTGATATACTTATTTCAATGTCAATAAAGTTAATTTAGTCACCGAAAACCTACATGCACACTCGTAAAAAGTCGATGAGGATCCTCTTATTGAACAAATAATAATTGAACAAACATTGRACAAATAGAGCAATTTAATGTACTAATTGCACAGGGAGCCCGGCTTTGGAATCTGTACATGAATAAATAAATCAATAAAGTGCTTTGGGTTTCCTGTGTTGAGATTTGAAACAAGACGCCAATGATAAATAAGTCAATAAAGTAGTTTGGGTTTCCTGTATTGAGATTTGGTAACTTGATAGCAGATTAATGTAAGTAATTCGAGAGCAGCTTATAATTCAAATTTAACGTATTAGTGTAACGCACGCCCTAGTAAATGGTAAGAACTTGTTGCACGCAACGTTGCACGCAACAAATCTGAAGTTAATCGCGCTCTACTCTTGCAACATTGCGCGCAACAAATTTCATCATGTGAACATGGCTGTAACATTACCTGCAAAATTTTGAGATTTCCAGCCAATCAGCTTGCACCAAATTTATAACTGCTGACCAAATATCTTTAAATAGCAGGCTGACACAAGCGATGTTGCGTGATTTTGTTGCAATGTGTGTCACCCCGATACCAATTTGTTGCTTGCAATGTTGCATGTAATGTTGTACCGTGTGTCAGCACTCCCGGCTTTAGCGTAACTGTGTTTTGCGGTTATTGAATAAAAGCTTTTTTTTCCCCGCCCTTGGCTGATTTAAAAAAAAAATTAAACGGTATTTTTCTTTAATTTGTGCGCTTTCTTTTTATAAAAGTAATCGAAGTGATTTCTAGCTGCTAAAGCATTCTCTCAGCATCCCAAGTGCAATGAACATAGCATCAAACACGGAAAGCTGTTTTGATACTTACATTCAATCATTATTGTTAATGATTAATAATATTATTGTACGTCGTCGTCGTCGTTGTTGTTGTTATTATTATAGTCTTATTTTTATTATCATAATTGCAATATCACTATATAATCCCATATAAGCAACTATCGCATTAGGGACAGGTCAAAAATTAGGGCTGGTGCAAATGGGGGGAGGGCCATTATTTTTCATGCAGGCTAAAAGGGAGGGCCAGAAAGAATTGTGCAAGTCTTAAGGGGACGGACGTTTTTGTGCATAAAAATTAGGTCTAAAGAAATGTAAAAAAATGAATTATGACACGGAAGAGTTTAATAGTAGAATGAGAACTACCGTGACAACAAGATCGGGAAGACGTGCAACTCGTTTACTGCTTCAATTATAAGTTATGGGGGAGGGGAGGGCCAGAAAAAATTGTGCAAGTATTTAGAGGGGGGGGGGGGGGGATATTTTTATATAAGGAAAGGGAGGGCCAGTCTAGTATAGTTTGGAATGATATAACTAATCTGCAATAGGACTACATGTCTGTCCAATTTTGAAATAATTGAATTCAGAAAAGTTCCTCTTACTGCCAAATTGGACTCGAACTATCGGCGTCTTCCAGTTTTGTCAGTTCTCGGTACATCTAATTAATTCCAAATTGGACAGCATGTAGTCCTATTACCCAGTATATTTATTATAAAGTTGTATCGTTTTATTGGACTATATATATCGTGTTATTGGGCTATATCGTGTTATTGGGCTATATCATGTTATTGGGCTATATATCATCTTATTGGGCTA